AGATAGCGCATTTGCTGGACATAAACTGTCCTCTTCTTTAGGCAATTATAAATACACCGGGATACAAATTTTGTTTGCTTTTGGATGACCTAGACCTAAAAGTACCTTGATAATATCTATAATTTCATAGTACGTCCAAAATTTCCATTACTTATTGAACGACCAGCTTACTCATGTGAAATAAACCAAACTACGCTTATATAAATAATGAAGTAAATAGTTTAGTCTCGTAAACATTGTAGCAACATAATGGTAGCATGTCACATAAAATAGAGAGAAATAAGAATCCCTAGAGAAAGCCCAACACGGCAAAATTGAAAATGTTGCAGGCTCGGTTTCATTGAGCCTGTTCATGGACGGTACTGTCAAGTGCAAACTACCGTCTACGCCCCCTAGCACCGGCTTAAGCAGAATTCAACATTTAACATAAACTGGTAAAAATTAAAATTTTGAAACATTCGCAGATGTGTTCATATGGCGGTTAACATAAAACTTTCAAATATGAAAAACAAGATCAACAAGGAAAGGCGGCGTTCAATGAACGCAACCCCCATATGACCCAGCAACAAGAACCAATGGCAAGGAGCCCAGGCGGACCCCAAACATAAAAAGGACAGGGCAAAACCTGTTTTATTATCGGAGCCCGATTAGCATGTGATTTGCGCGATTTTTGAAGTCTGCTAACCCTGATATTTTTATATATCGTAAAAGCCAGAAAATTTATGAAAATAATTCAAGCCTACAACATAATTATGTTGTTATAGTTTTTTTGAGCCAGGCCCTTCTCATATTAATATAAAATAAATAAGACAATATGCTGAGTTGCAATTGGTCAGTGTAATGGTAGATTATATGCAGACAAAAATATCCCAAAAGCGTTCAACGCTGACCATATGTTGATCTAGTATTTGGTGCTAATCTTCTTTTTAAAAATAAAGAGATCTTAATCAAATACACTCCAGGGGAATCCTGGGACTTAGTGAGGTACCTGACCTGCTTCCGGAGCTAATTCTCAAAGTTACTAATGTTTCCTTGGCTTTGCATCACAAATAACGCTATAACGACCTGGAACGTGAACTGCTTTCAATAAAAAAATTAGGTTTCATGCAATGAAAAACAAGAAGTCGTACAAGGCACATTATTGTTTCAGACGACCAAAACGAAGTCTTATTCAAAATGTCTATTGCTGCCATATTTTCGCAGTTAAATCTTACATTTTCATTACACAATTTAGAACCAACAATGAATATCGCCACAATAATTGGAAATGACTCTAAAACAGTAATATCGGCCGTAAAACTGCGTGAGTGCCAAATCGTCTGGCCATTTACCTTAAAAATAAACTCCGTATCCACAAATAACACCACCTGCGCTGTCTGAAAACAATTCTGCCTCTTCGTTTAAAACCCAAAATTTGTAATGAAACAAAGACACGCCATAATATTTCTTTATCAATAAAACCCAAAATTTGTAATGAAACACAGACACGCCATAATATTTCTTTAACAATAAGAGCCATATGTACAAATACGATAAAATGCAGTGATACGACTAGGTCTACAACAAAAATGGGGGGAACAAATTAGAGATTTTATCTTTTAAGAGGTGATTTAGAATATGATTACACTTCAATAATTTTCAATTTGATTTCCTCTTTTTTTGCGATGGGATTGTAACTGTCATTTGATTTGTGTCAAAGTCTAAACCTTTAAATACTAAAACCTCAGGCGGGCCTTCTGTTTTCTCCGACGTTTTAGGAACTCCAAGATCGTCCATTGTGTTTTGAAAAGAAATCAATGCCTAACTGCATACTTCTGACGTCTTCTCAGACCCAAGAAAATCGTCTTAATCATGTATCAATTTCGCTGAAGATTTTGATTTAACACTATGTTCTAAAAATCTTGAAAATCATTTAAAAGTAATAATACCGGTCACTGAAGCACCGAGTGTAGGATTGAAATAAAGTTAGTGATTGACTGCTAGTCAAGCTATGATTGTTCAAAGAATTTAAAGTTTGACAGTTAATTGCAGGGTGGGGCACGTGACACAAACATAGGAAATAGAGTGAAAAAGGAATCCTTAAAGAAAGCCGGCAATTCGGCTATAAACATTTTCCCGCATTAAAATCATTACAAGTAATGCTATAAGGATTAGATTGGTCCAGCAAAACTGGTCTGACTGGTACACAGCGCTCAATAACTCATTGTTTATTTTTGACGATGATTGAGGAGCATAAACCTGTCCTAGACTAACTGCTGGTATAAGTCCTCAATGAAAGACCGCCCTGGTCTGATATTAAACATACAAAATGTATAATGTAAAATTTCAAGAATTTTATCAGTGTGTGATGACGAATACGATAAATGCATTGTCAATTTTTCAATGCAACTGATCTGCTCTTTATATTCCTTTTGGGTGCATTCGTTCTGACTTTCACGGTGTAACTTACAGACGGCCCCTGTACAAAATTCTGATAGCTCAACTGCCCCTTTCAGTAATCACATCAAGTTAACATATTCACCTCAACAGCATTTTTGTTTAAAGAGATGCTGGAACGTGCGCCGCTAAATCATCATTGTCTAAACGTTTTTCGCAAAACATTTAAAATATCATGGAATGGTTCGCAGTAGAATTTTCCAGACCTACAGATTGTAACATATTGCCACACCTTGTAAAAACATTGTTTACGGCTGAAATAACATCATTACTCAAATTTTGTGGAATAATATTCGATGCCCTTGTTATCTGCTCAAACTCTGCTACGTTCGACTCAAAACCAGTCTTTAGCGTCCATTAAAACCTTCAACGGAACATCTGCCGTACATTTCCTTCCTCAAACATTGCGAGGTTGTTCATTCCCTTTTGTACCAGGCTGCCTGGTACTGTTGTTCCGCAAAACCTGTTGTGGACGTTCTCTTCCGCGGCCACATGGCATAATTTTACTGTGTATATAGCATTATTAATTCTTTCTGACCAGTCAATCTGTACTGCATACGTGTAAAGTGCGATTATTCTGCATGGACGGTTCAAAAGAAGGTTGCAAAGTAGGTGCGGCTGTGTTTGAAAATAATTTTACATCTAGTATGAGGTTACCAGATAATGCATCAATTTTTACTGCTGAAGCAAAAGCTATCGATTTAGCATTGTCATACATAGCACAGCATACCCACGATAAATTTGTGATATTTTCTGACTCGCTTTCTGTTTTAGTATCCATTAAAAATAAAAAATCTGACAATATCATGGTAAAGAAACTTCTTTTACGATTTCATGATATACTAATAACAAAATGTGTTAAATTATATTGGATTCCAAGTCATGTAGGAATACGAGGAAATGAAAAAGTAGATGCTTTAGCTAAACAATCATTAAATTTTCAAAAAACTGACTTATTGCTACCTGCTTGTGATTTTAGACCGGCTATAAATAAACTCGTATCATCTGAATGGAAAGCAAATTGGGACAATGCCGTTTTAATAAACTTCACGATATAAACCCATCTCTTGTTGTGTCACCATCTCTATCTCTGTCAAACCGCCGTGATCAAACAGTTCTTCTTCGATGCCGAATTGGACACACTAAAATTACCCATTCTTATCTCCTTACAAATGACAATGCCCCTTTCTGTGTAGGTTGTAATAAAAATTTTACTGTCAAGCATTTTCTTCTTGAATGTCACGATTTTTCACAGGCCCGTAATAGATTTTATTCTGTAAATTCACTCAAAGAACTTTTTAATACAATTCCATCAAAAAACATAATTGATTATTTGAAAGAGATAAACTTGTATTCTAGGATCTAATTGGTTCATTTCTATTGTCATTTACAAAGTTTAACATAACATTTTAAGCCTATTATAGCATTCGGCACGATATGGCCAGTTATGTGTTGACGTGCCGTAAAAACCCAAACAAACAAACAAACAGCATGGGTTTTGCCTTCTTTTTGCCATACCGAGTACACGATATGCTCGACTAAGAAAACTATCGAGATAACCAGATAAAATGTTTGTCACCAAAATGTAACTGACGATTCATTAGGCTGACGGAGCAATATAGCAGACGACTGATATTTATAGCAGACAATGTTTTCTAAATAATACATACATTTGAAATTATAATAAATAAATTTAATATTAAAATAATTTATAATATTTTATAGAAAAGAAAACGAAGCTGTTACTGTTATTTGACATTTTTTCTTACAGTAATTTATGAATTTCTTACTTCGATATATCTTCATTAAAGCGCATTTTTTATAAAAGATTTGCGGGGATAACTTCATTTAAAACATGCGACTTATTTTACATGGGTATGTAAGATTGCTTTTAAACCAACGGTGCAAATAGTCGATAATCCTGTCTGATATGCAGGAAAATAATATTTGAAAAAAGTGTCACCATTTTGTAATCTACCCATGGAAGTGGGTTGCATTGTTTGCAAAAGAATATCTAAACCCGGCTTCAATTAAGCTCGAGGGTTACTGTTTTTATCTGTCACATGGTTCTGCCGAGTGTCCGCCTAACAAGTCACGGACATAAAAAAACTATTCCATATAATTTCAGCAAATTTTGAATCAAGAAGGCGAGTAAAATAAGTTTAATTTTACCTTTTTTAGTCTTTGTGTTTTCGTTATGCACGCTAGGCACTCTGAATTTTTTTTATTAGCGGTTAAACGCCTTTAAAACGTTATCAATTGGCCCCTTTTTGTGATAAAGTATGAAAGTTTCACACAATCTGCAATATACTTGATTTGAGGTATAATTTTTTTGATTGTTTGTTTCTTTATTAATAATTTTCTTTACTCAGTCCATTGGATCCGTTTATCCTTAGTCTGTTTATTTACCTTAATGAACATTTTTTGGTATCTCTAAAAGATATGACCTAGTTCATACAAAGGTAAGATTTATGAAGCATTACGTTATATGCCTTTTTCAGAAAGTCAAGTTGAACTTTGAACTCCATCTAAATTAAATTATTGTATTTAGTCAGTTAACTTACCTTTATTGTTTCTTTTTCATCACACCTGTCAAACATAAGCACATTACATAATAGTTAAAGAACAGTACTACATTATTAACAACATTTTTTAAAGCGTACGTGTTTCTGTGATCCGACTCATAAATTAATGCCTTGAAAAATAATTCAGTGTATCAGGATACAAGCTTTTCATTACTGATGAATATGAGTACTTCATAATTTTTCCAGTTTATTTTGTTATTGACTCAAATAATACGATATATGTTTGTACAAACAATAGCACTGCAAATTGTCATTTTGCAACATTTAATACATTACAATTCTTGTATTATGTCGTCGCCAAACAGATATGTCTAGAGGCTTTTCAAAATACGTGATGTCATAACAACTTTTCGACAAGTCTTTATTTATTCATACATTAAAACATATAAATATGGATATATGCACGCATAATTTACATAATCGAACTGAATAATGCTGTGGAATTTATCACACTTACCGTTTTCTTTCGTCTTTTAAATGTTCAGCGTCCGATTCCATTATCTCTAATTTGAAGTTTGCTGATGTTCTCAGAAGAAAGGCACTGTAAATATGTATCTTAAAAGCCTTTAAACACTACATTTTAAATTGCTTATCCTTTAAAATATATACATTGCTTCAAAAAGACTTATCAATATCAATCTTTGTTGTTTACATATTGTTCTGAATATAATAGTCAACATGCCAACATATCATTTTTTTCTTAATGATATCAAGTACAAAAGAATAAACGTCAGTCACGTGCAGCACGGTTAAATGGTGATCGCACCATAAATGTTATCAAATGTGAGGACAAAAGAATTATCTGTTGCATTTAATGAGAAATACATAAAATATGCCAACAATGACAGTACAAGATTTAAATCTAATGTAATTTGTTTTCTATATAAATTATAATAGTATTTAACGATATATAAAGCTTACCTGAATTCTACGTAAGTTTCTCAATAACTGAAATAATCTTAAATGTCCTCTAAATAAACGAAATGTCTATGTACACAATAACATTACTTACCTTCTAAAAGACGATATATCAATGTGCGCGATACGGATTGGACAAAGAACGATACGGATTGGACAAAGAAAATATAATTTTTCACAGCATGTGGTAGGTTTGTACGATTACGCTTCAAATCGACTATTGAAGCGAAGTTTATGTGTAAACGTAAAATCAATCTCTGACATTAACTTGCTGTATAACCATACCTCTGGATATATTAATTGAAACATTGGTATATGTAACAAAATTAATCAAATTTGTGAAAATGGCTTTAGGTTTTTATCTTGGATTCGGTAAGTATTATTTTTTCATATTGTTTTCATTCAATGTTATTTGACATATCACGAATCACAATTGACGCAACAATGTCCAAAATTATTCAAAGACACCTAGATAGATTCATAGAATAGGAACTCAATTTGTTTATTTAGATTAATTATCAAAGTGACTGACTCATTCATAAACTTATGAAATATGATAAACAAGATCAACAAGGAAAGACACTCAACTTTTTTAAATATATATGTATAATGCAAATTCATTCATTTGTTTGTTTGTTTGTTCGTTCGTCCGATCGTTCGTTCGTTCATCGTTCATTCATTTATTATGTATTTTTCTTGTGAAATATTTGATATTGTTAGGTTTACTGTTCTTAATGGTTTATATTATGATATTGTAATAATGGTGATTAATTCTGCCAAGTTATCTTAAGAAACGAAATGTAGACTATCTAACATTCGATCTGTAAATGTGATTTTGACCTTGGGGGTAGCTATTCAATTATTGCGATCTTCACGTCGTCTCATAATGGTGAACACTTTTGTCAAGATATGTCAAAAAATTAAGCGGTTTAAAAGTTATTAAGCGGACATAAAATGTAGACCTTTTAACACTTGACCTTTAAGTGTGACCTTGACCTTGGGGAATAGCAACCCAATTATTGCACTCTGCACATTGTCTCATAATGGTGATCACTTGTGCCAAGGTTTTAAAAAAATCAGAGGTTTAAAAGTTATGGAGGGGACACGAAATGTAGACTTTAACACATTTGACCTTTAAGTGTGGCCTTGACCTTGGGGTATCAACCCAATTATTGCTCTTTGTACATGTTCTTATAATGGTGATCAATTGTGCCAAGTTATGGAGCGGACAAGAAATGTAGACTTTTTAACATTTGACCTTAAAGTGTGATCTTGGACTTTTGCGTAGCAACGCAATTATTGCGCTCTGCATGTTGACTCATAATGGTGATCAGTTGTGCCAAGTCATTTTTTAAAAAAATTGTCAGCGGTTAAAAAATTATGGAGCTGTAACAATATGCAGTCTTTTTTATTATGAATTAAAGACTTTTTGACATTTGACCTTTAAGTGTGACCTTTACCTTAGGGGTAGCAACCAAATTATTGCGCTCTGCACATTGTCTTGTTATGATGATCACTTGTGCCAAGTAATTTAAAAAAAGAGGGGTAGTTTAAAAGTTATGGAGCGGACACGAAAATGAAATATGAAATGAAGACTTTTAACATTTGACCCTTAAGTGTAACCTCGACCATGGGAATGGAAACCCAATTATTGCGCTCTGCACGTCTTATTATGGTGATCACTTGTGCCAAGTAATTTTTTTTAATTCAGCGGTTAAAAAGTTATGGAGCGGACACGAAGATGTTACGGACGGACAGACGGATGTGATTTTTTATCTTTATGTGGCATTTTCCCCCATGAACCAGTAAAATTTACCACATAAACCAGTCGGTTTATGAATTTCCTCCAATTTTTAACTAAAATTATGGACGGAATGAAGCTCATAGACCATTGGATGTTCGCGAACGGACAGACTGACGGACTGACAGACGGAGGTTCTTCCTATAATGCCCTTTCCAATATGCGGAAGGGGATGAAAAATATCTAAAAATCAACGATCCATGAACCAATCATTTCATTTCTTAGAAGACTGACCATACATCCAACCAATGTATACATGAAGTAAAATAAGTTTAAAACAATAGAGTAATCTGCCTTGAAAAGTATCAGGCAAGACTGACAGATTTGTCGGCTTTTGAGCTTTATAAAATTGAACAGTAAGAGTAATGTCCCTATCTCAAACATAAGACCCTGTCATACTTTCCTGGCCTGAAAAAATGATTTCCCGTCATTGTTCATAAATGTCTTCAGTCTGATCTTACTTAATCTAAGCATAAACACACCAAAAAAGATTTTGTGTAGAAAAATGAATTGTTACAATTACAATTACTCTCTTTTTTACAACTGTATAGTTACAAATATTAAAAACATTATTGTCATAAACATTAGATGTCTAAAATTATCAGATATAAGTAATATTAAATACTTAAATGTAGTCAGTTATTTATATCATAGCTAATCATGTACCATGTTTAACTTATATATATATAACTTGCATATTATATACTGAGTCCTTTCCCTTTTGGATTTAAATGATCTTAATTCAAATACATGAACATCTGGTATTGGTTGGTCAATGACTTCATAAGCTTCTTCTTCAATTTTCAGCTATCTTATATTTCCCTTCAAATCTTAAAATGTCCAGCTTTAATGTCATATTGTTCTTTTTGTTCAGTTCTAACTTTGTCACTGATCTCTTTTTTCCATTTCTCCTGCCTTCCTTTAAATTTTCAATATATTCTTTAAAATTTACAATTTTTGTTGTTTCTTCATCGTCTGTCATTTGTTCATAGAGTCTATAGCAATCTTCGGATGTCTACAACACATGAGCTCGAATGCAACGTTTGCAGACTCATGTGGAATGCAATTGTATGCATTTATACTAATGATGGTACATATTTCTTCGAGTCTTGCTTCTGAGATGCATTAAAAGTTCCTAACATGTTGTGCAATGATCTATAAAATCGCTCAGGTGTGGAATTTCCCATAGTATGGTATATGGTGCTACAACTTTTCATTGTGTTGAGCAGATGCAAAAGTTCTTGAAAAATATCTGACTCAAAATTTGCTCCTTGGTCTGAGTGTAATCTGGTCAACGTACTGAAATGAATAATGAATTTGTTGTACAAAGTTTCATCTGTTGTTTTTGCTGTCTGATTGCCAGTTGGAATGGCTAAGGCATACCTGGTGAAGTAATCCGTTATAACTAGGATATTTGATAATTCTCCTTTTGATTCTTCAAGAGTTAAAAAGTCCATGAACAAAATTCAAGAGGATAAGTTGTTATCACATTTACTAGTGGTATATCTCTCGCATTTGTTAATATATTCTTCGGTAACAGTTAACATGTCTAGCCAACACAATCTTTCCCGAAGTTATCTGAGAGTTCTTTCTCGATCAGGATGGCCAATATCTGTATTAAATCCTTTCAATATTTCTTTTTCTGTAACTTTCTGGTATAACAAGCTGTTCTCCTTCTGTATCTCGATCAAGTATTTTCTGTAAAGGACACCTTTTTCATTATAAAATTCTTAAAACGCCTTTTCACGATTATCACTTCTTTGGGTAATGCTTTTGGACTCCCTTTATCTAAATAGGCACGTCTCCATCTATTTATGAGGATATATTCTCCTTGATTTTTTTTCGTTATTCTCTTAATTCTACCTGTACTATTGTTTTAGTTGAGGCTTCAATGATGCTTAAACTTTCACAAGGAATAGTCTCAATGTTTGGTGGTATCAAATTGGTTCTGCAAATGAACTTGACCTCGTCGTTGTTTATCTTTTCTATAATATCAGGTGTCTTTTTTCTTTCAAATGGATACCTGCTTAAACTGTCTGCATTTGCATTGTTTATTACAACACGATAGTAGATATCATAAGAAATTAAAGTTTTTATGGCTTTTAACTGCTTAGGGTTGTTTGGAGTATACTTTCTTTTTGAAGATGAAAAGGATTCTTTCACAAATGTTGTGATTCTTGCTTGATTTTCTGCCTTTATAGATCTTTATCTTTATAAATTACTCAAGATATTCATTTCTGTTTTACCATAGATAAAAATACAACCAAACTGAATTTACATAAAATTGAATTTTAAGTTTTAACTTAAAATTGTATTTAAAGTCAGTAATAGTGACTATGCATTTCGTGATAATTAGTCTCGCACATGGCAGCTTGGCAAAATGTAACAATGAAAGCTCCAAAAAGGTGGTAATGTGCCCAATGGTCAAACAAAGGCAAGTGTCAAATAGTTATTTTATCTTACTGAAGGGTTATGGTTGGTAGCAGGGCTTTTCATAAAGGTGTATATGTATAAAATATCAGATTGGTTATTTTGGTTGAATTTTCATGATTTTATATTTTATTTAACTGATAAAGACCATCGCAATTTTATCTTGTGTTCTTTGGATCATCCATACCATATATGATGTTGTAGTTGTGGTGAAGTAATGCACAGTAATGCATAGTAATGCACCTTCATTACATGAATTTTGCATTCCAGTACCAATACAAGTAATGAAAATGGGCATACAGTAATATTACATTGCATTACTATCAAGAAAAGTAATGCATTCCTACTG